AGAATCAGTGGAACTGTGATTGCGATCTGCGGTCGTCGCGGGAATGGATGCTCCGAAACAATGTCCCGCAATCCATACCTCCCACGTGTCAGACACCCCAACGCGTGTCCGGACTCATGTGGAACTCCCTCGACATCGACGACTTCGCCTGCGCTCCCGATATCATCAGTACTGCCACTGAAGTGACCAAATATGTCGGCGGAAACGCCACCCTTTCCTGTGTTGTCAAAGGACAGCCCCAACCGAAGATCTTTTGGTATGTTTTACTCACCAATCATTCAATTTGTGTTTTTAATACAAACGTTAACTGAAATTCAAACCAAATACTAAATTGTGTTAATCTGATGGACAGGTATGTTGACGATGGCTTCTATAGGAACCTGTCATCCCATTTGGTGAGAGGGGAGAAGTTTTTCTTATACGAGGAGAAAAGCGACGGAATCGTGAACTCAATGCTAACGATCACCGGTTTAGAGGAATCCGATTCCCAATCATTCATCTGTTCGGCGGAAAACAGGGCCGGAATTGCGACCAAAAACTTTACCATAACTGTAATGGCGCTACCATTTGGAGCGGTGGCCGGTTGGTCGAAGGTGGAGGTGGCCGGCGCTGTGGTCGGCATTCTCTCCTCATTGGTGTTCATCTTCGTGTTGGTCACCATATTTCTGATCCGTTCGCGTCGATCACACCATCCGCCGGACGACAAGCCCTCTCCCATATCGGTGCTCAAGAATTTGTCGCCCGGAGTGAAGTGCGAGTCGTCCGGTATTAAGAGTCACGTGACTGTCATCGGAAAGGATGGCAACGAGAAGAAGCCCGAGAACGGCAACAATAGCTCCGGTTATGGCTCCGGAGGTATGACTCCTGACTTAACGAAGACTGGTTTTGATTTGAATGGATATCACAATAATATTTCCGGTAAATATTTTATCGAATAAAAATATATTTAAACAAAAGTTTTATCGCATTTTAAATGTGAGAAAATGAATTGACATTAATTGATTTAAACATAACATATTTGTTGTACATTATAGGCAACGGTTACACTACTAACGAAAGTCATTTCACGTCACAAATGATGCCAACAATTGGTTATCAAACCCAAAGCCAACTCTCGGTTGGGAACCAGAGTTTCACACAATTGGCACCCGATGTGAGCCAAC